TAGAGTTAGATGTGGAACCTGAAGATGTGAACTGTTGCAATCTCATACTTGAATGGATCAAGCTTGAATGGGTGAGGAGTTGCTTCTTATGGATAAACAAATAAAGTGGTTTATTGACATGACATCTACTCCTGATGAGATGCTGTGAACATTGTTGAAATCAAACAAAGAATTTAGAATATTACATAATCTTAGTCGATAAAGCAGTGTCAGGGTTTGAGAGGAGTGACTCCAATTTCGAAAGAAGTTCTTTTGTGGGTAAAATGCTATCAAACAGCATTGTGTGCTACAGAGAAATCTTTTGTGAAAGGAAGAGTCAGTCAGTGTGGCATACTCCACTGTTACCTTATTTGAAGAAATTGCCACAGACACCCTATTCTTGCAACAATCGCCCTTATCAGTAAACGGTCATCAACACTGAGGCAAGAATTCCCATGTCACCCAGGCTGGAGTGAAGTGGCCGGATCTCAGCTCACTGCAAGCTCCGCCTCCCAGGTTTACGCCATTCTCCTGCCTCAGCCTCCCGAGTAGCTGGGACTACAGGCACCCGCCACCTCGCCCGGCTAGTTTTTTGTATTTTTTAGTAGAGACGGGGTTTCACCGTGTTAGCCAGGATGGTCTCGATCTCCTGACCTTGTGATCCGCCCGTCTCGGCCTCCCAAAGTGCTGGGATTACAGGCTTGAGCCACCGCGCCCGTCCTGTTAAGATTTTTTAGCAATAAAGTACGGTTTAATTAAGGTATATACAGTTTTTTAAGACATAATGCTATCACACACTCACAAGACTATAGTATAGTGTAAACAATTTTTATATGCATTAGGAAACCAAAAAATTTATGTGACTTGCTTTATAGTAATATTTGCTTTATTGCACAATATCTTTGAGGTACACTTGTGGATATAGACATGGATATTATATACGTACACACATAAATTTGTATATATGAGTGTATGTGTGTATATACATCCGCTGTCTATCTCTGTTGACAGGCCCTAGAAACAATGGCACCTTGTAGTAATCAGTGAAAATGCCATTTGCCACTAAAAGGAATCAAGCCCTTTTGAGAAATGGCTGATTCTGGAAAAATGTAAGATGAGTTAAGAATATGGTGTTGTGCCAGAAGAGTGAGAATGTGTTAAAAGAATGATGTAGATATGTCAAACGGACACAGGAACCAGCTTGAAAGGGCTTAGACTGAAAAAACCTGGACAATTTGCTAATCAAAGTAAATAAGCATAGTAAAGAAATACAATTCACAGAAAAAGAAATACAATTCACAGAAAAAATAAAATCCATGATATAAATCGATAAATGAGTGAATAAATAACAAAACAGGTGATAAGAAAATGTTCTTTCGTACGGTAGAAAGCCAACCAATAATCATAGAAACAATTCCAGGGGTCAATTTAAATGTCAATCTGTGGTAACCATTATAACAATTGATTCAGGCAAAAATCTTCAATGGATGCTAAAACTAGCAGCTGGAAGTTTAAGGAGTAAGAAGATACTGAGGTAATCTTAAGGTACCCTTCCATGAGATTCTCATTAATTAGAAGCTAACTAACTAGTAATTTTATCATTTAAGAAACTCAGTAGACACCACCTTAATCAAGTGATCAAAATTCTCATCCTCAGAAATGAGACAAATAAGATACCGTATGTCCCCTGATATCATGCACTGAGAAGAACATACCACTTCTGTGATATTCTTGCCAAAATTTCATAACCTAAATCTAATCAAGAGGAAACATCAAACAAACCCAACTTGGGTGACCATCTATCAAATAACCAGGGCTTGCATTCTTCACAGTTGTCAATGTCATGATAGACAAAAAAGACTGAGGGACTGTACTAAATTAAAGCAGCCTAAACGGGGACAGCAACTGAAAGCAAAGCAGAATTTTCTGTTGCCATTAAAATATTATTAGTACATTTGGAAAAATACAAATAAGCCCTGATGATTTGAATATAGCGATGATGCATGAATATTACTTTCCTGATTTTGATAATTATCTTGTGGTTATGTAAAAGAATGTGCTTCTTTTGTAATAAATATGTACTCTAGTATTATAGTGTTTAGCAATAAAGTAGCATCCTGTCGGCAACTTTCAAATTGATCAGAAAAAATTATATATGTATATGAATATACATTCAGTATGTTACGTATGTTTGTATTTATACAATAGCCTCAAATTTCACTTCTCAGCATCCATTTCTAGAAATGGTTAGATTGGAGAACAAAGGCGCATATCCAGAGTGGGGGCTTCCTACTCCTTTCTTGTTAAATGTAGCTAATCTGCACAGAAGGGTCAGCTAGAGGCGAAGACATGGGAAATGGCAAGTGCAAGTTCCCCATCTTAGTGACCTGGGAGATACTACATGAAGCTCAAGCACATCACCCCTGTACCTGATCACAGGGTAGGGTGGGGCTAGGGAGCAAAAGAGACAAGCAGTTGTGCCATGGCTGAGCAGTCAGTGATCTCCAGTGCCTTAGCACTAAGCAACCAGGAAATACAGTCTTCCCAGTTTCAGGCTCCCACACATAACAAAACAGATGGAGGGTCAGAATTTCCCTTTCCAATATGTTGGGAGAAAGTTCTACCTCTCTGGAATGACATGGGCCCGACATGAAAGGTTCCTCCCTATGCCTTAAAAAACCTGACAGTTCTTCAGCCCCTGCCTCAGGGCGGGATGGAGGAGAAAACTTGGGCCAGTGCCTCACCATCAAAAATGTCCCACTATAGAGACCTGCAGGAGCTTCAAGCCTCGAGGCCTGTAGTCATGCTTGAGAAATAGCCTGTCTGGGGATGAGCCTTTGCTGGCTCGGTTAACAGTGACACCCTCTCTGCATACAACCAGAAGACTCCAGAGAAGGGAGTACTTCCTTCTCTCTCAGGTACTCTCAGGTAGACAAAAAACACCCCGTTGACCTCCATTCCCATCAATATCAGATACCTGCTTTCTCAAGTGCCTCTTCCCTAGATGACTCCATTCTTGATAAACTCAATAGTCACTGTCAATACTGCTAAAATCAACAGATAAAAGAGCTGCTTCAATATTGCTGGGCCCCAAAGCTGCTAAAGCTAGCCCCAATAACCTGCCCTGTCAATTCCAGCTGTTTCCTAAATAAATCTCCTTTACTTATAATCCAATTTCATCCTTAACCACAATACCATTTGCCTCTTGCCTAGGGGCACAAGCCATCCCTGACCGGCCAAACTAGCAGCCCAGACCACCTGCTAAGGACAATGGGGCTAGGCTTCCATGTGGGGCTGTACTTTTTAATGCCAGCCTTTGTGTAGTTACAGTTCATCCCTGGCCCCATTTTAGGCACCTCTATGTTGCTAGTTCCTTCATACGCCTCTGCTTCTTTTCCTTCTAATTAACTTCCAAACTCAGGGTGGAGACTTAGCATTGGTATTGTAAGAAAAGGCCAGCCTGACGCATTCTCCTAAGTGACGCATTCTCCTAATGTCATGGACAACAAGAAAAAAAAATTTTTGTCTTAGGGCCTGAACTAGTTTAGGCCACTTAGCCTGCCTGATAGGTCAGACTGCCAAGTAAGAGAAGCAAGAGTTGGGAGAGACATCTGTGCTTCCTCCCTTTTTAGGGGATAGTAATCTCATGGACTTGTAAAGCACTCCCCACCCCAAAACACCAGACCAAACAACTGTCTTGGTTTGGTCCACTGCTCTCACCAAGGTCCTCAAGGGGTGATTCCCAGGAAGTTAGTGGGAAAAGAAAGGGGAGTGAAGTAAAGATGGAGGAAAGCATGAGCAAGGCTGTCTAATTGAGCTGAATTTCACTGTGCTTAGCAGTGGGTTACTACCGCTGGGGGCCTGCAAGGAACGGTGGAGAATGTGATTCAAAATTTCTCCTCCAAATGACAAGTGATGTCTGAGTCTGGCAGAATTGTGGCACAGGGACCTATATCACCAGTTATCAAGGCAAGGAAATAAGCCCTGGTTTTACTGTATAGTGCCTAAAAAATAAAGCATTCTAGAAAAGCTAAATATTATATCTGCCTAATGTGCATTCTAGGAATAGAGGCTTGTCTGCTTTTCATTTTGAGGACTTCTGAGACTGCCTAACATGGCCAAGAAAACTCTTGGATATGCTTTGGTGTTTGGGTTGTACCAAGCTTATAAATAGTGGTATATTAGTTATCTATTGCTGCATAACCAATTACCCCTAAGGTTGGAGGCCTGAAACAACAAAGATTCATGATCTCAAAGTTTCTGAGTCAGGAATTCAAGAGCAGCTTAGCTGGTAGCTATGGCTCTGAATCTCTCGTGAGGTTGGAGTTAAGACTTGACCAAGTTGCAGTTGCCTGAAGGGCTTAACTGGGGTTAGGGGATCTGTTTGCAAGATGACTCACTCACATGGCCATTGGCAAGAAGCCTTAGTTCCTCACTGACCACTAGCAGGAGGCCTCAGCTGCTCTGCATCTAGCACCCTTCATGGGATGGTTGTGCATCCTCATGATATGGCAGACGTCCTCCCTCAGGGCAAGTGATCTAGGAAAGACAGGAAGATAGAAGATGCAGTATCTTCCAAGATCAAGTTTTGGAAGTCATACTTCATCACTTTTGCCCTATAATACTTTTTAGAAGTAAGTCACTAAAAATAGTCCACACTTGAAAAGAATTAAGCTCCATCTCTTGAAGGAAAGTATATTAAATAATTTGTGACCATATTTTATTTAAAGCTACTCACCACAAGTGGGATGGCCTGGCCACTAGAGTCTGGAGAGTCTCGAACTGTAACTCCTTGAATTCAGCTGGAGTCATTACAGCATAGCAGAGTAGGGTGAGATTCAGGTTCCAATGGACTCAAGGGTGCGACCTGGCCAAGACGAGCTCCTGGGAGTGCCGCCAGTGCTGTCTTACAAACCCCACACTCAGAACGACTTCACCTTTGGTTTAATACTCTGTTGCCATCTTGAAATTAAAATTCTTGATAATTCCTAGTAATTTTGTCTTTGTATTTGTTTTGTAAGTGAAGTCCAGTGGTACCATGGAGCATGTGCAGGAGCAGAGGAGATAGCTACAATAAAAATGTTTACTGCCATTTCTTGCTGTCCATTTGTGTATAGTGTTCATAAAATTCCATGAGCACAGGATTCTGATGAATCTACAATGCATGGGAGCTCAGAGGGGACTCAAATCAAGTACAATGTAAGTATGTTATGTCTATGACTAAGGACGTGGGGACCACACCACTGACAGTCCCAGGAGGCCACATTTTTCATTCAAGCCAGAAAGAGGGCAAGGACATTCTAAGAAACAAGAATTAGCAAGGGACTCTGTCATATCCTTCATTACTCATGTTACTTCCTCTATTAGTCAACCACTTGCACTGAAAATGATACCATAGAAGGAAAGAGAAAGATAGGGCAAACCATAGTGCCTTTTCTTTTCAGTCCTCTCTTACTCATCAGTAAGTCAAAGGTAGAGAGTGTTGATAGAATGCGCATATTATTAAGAAGAAAAGTACAAATACTTGAATTGGTTTGGTGCAGTGCTTACAGTGTTCTGAAAAGAGCAAAATATATATGCATGTACAAGCTATGAAGTATAAATTGTGCGATTTCAGTAATCTCTCATAGGAGTGAAATACTCTTATTTTTGCATTTAAAAGCGTCATTGCACAATATCAAGATGAATGGTAAATCTAGGCTAGTAATTTACCATTTCAATTTTTCTTTATTTAGAACATTAAATAGCAAATTGAAAAACAACATGACCATGACAAGTCAAGGGAGATTGTGAAAGAAAGAAAAAAGCTTTATATTGTACTACCTCTAATGACAGTTTTCCCCTGCCTCTTATTTCAAAAACACATTCAGTCTGTAGCATATAATGAGGTTATGTAACCTTGAACAGTAATAGAAATGGTCAAAATACAAAGACATGATAATAGGGAGCTGAGTGTAAAACATAAAAAATAGCATTCTCAAGTAGTTTTTTCAGAAGTCCATAGGTGTTGCTTATAAAACAGAGGCTACAAAGCCTTGAAGAAAACAAGTTCACAGGAGCAAGATGTAGTTCAAGCTGAGGAGAGAAGCTGAGAGTCCTCTGCCGATTCAGGGGGATTGGGTAAAATCCAGGGAGAGAACGATTCCAATTTCAAGAAGAAAAGCAGTAGACGGAAAAAAGGAACTGAGAAACTGAGAAGCAGAAGTATTAGGTTGATGCAAAAGTAATTGTGGTTTTTGCAGTTACTTTTAATGACAAAAACCACAATTACTTTTGCACCAACTTAATATATCTGGTAGGCCCAAGGCAGTGGATCTGGTGTACCGATACTAGGGATGGATTGAAGGGAGAAAGGGGCAGAAAAAGAGACAACCAAATAGCTTAGACACATACGCCTAAGGCCAGAGCCTGGGCACCGGTAGCAGGGCTCAGTGATGTGGCCATGATCTTCAACTCAAAGAATGTTCAGGTAGGAGGGACCCCAGAACTCATCTAATTCAAACCTCTTATTATCAGTGGGATAAAATGAGGCACAAAAGGGGACATGACTTATCTAAAATTATAGAATTTGTGAGTAACAGAAGAGGATATTTTAATTTATGACTGTTCTGTTGTATCACGAAGTCAATTTATAGGCCAGTTGGGAACACCTAGGATCTATACCAGAATATATCTTTCTCCCCTAGAAGTAGAAAGTAGAAAGATGATCAGCTCCACTTGGAAATAGCAATTATGGTAAAAGAACTAGCTCAAAATTCCAAGCCCAAATTAACATCTGGTTCTCCAGCACTCATGAAGTTTAAGGCATGTGCTGGGTACAAGGAAAAAGCTCTAGGCTCAAAGATTGTTTTCCTGCTAGACTGTTTGGCCCCTTAGGGTCAGGGATCAAATCTGATTTACCTTTCCATCTCTAACACCTGGACAATAGTCATCTTTGACCATTTATTTTCGACAAGTAATTATTTTACTCCTGGGGTCCCTTGCATTTCTATTCTCCTAATATTACATATAAATTCACTGAGATAAGAGAAGTAAAGGGATAAGTCGGTGATCACAGAATGAATGAATTAAGAGCAGAATTCAAGTCTACCCTTCTTGGGCTCTTTCTCCTCACCATTGCTGTTGCTATTCCTTCCAAAGGATTAGGACAAAGGAAAGAGATGAAGCAAAAACTGATACAAAGTTGAGTAATAGTATAACAATTAAATAATCTGTAAACCAAAGTCTAGGAGAAATATCTATGAACTGGAATATGAATATGTAATAAGAGCTTCTTTAGAGTCTAAAACTGGACTGTTCATAGGCACATGGCATTTGCAGCATCTAAAACAAGGCTTGGCATATACTTCCCGTTGCTACTAAAATAATAAATAGTATATCCTGTAGTTAGACTGTTCAGCAGCATATATCAAGTGCCAGCTTAGTGCTTCAAACTTGAGTTACGTTGACAGAAGCCTTCAAAACAATATTGTGTGAGATAAACACAATGGTTACAGTCTGTGGCCTGAAATTCTTTTACTGTGGGAAAGCCAATTTTAAAGATGATTTGAAGGTCAAATTAGGTCACCTCTAACATAATGTAACATTTACTGGACTGCAGTGGGCAAGGGAAAACAAAGAGGTTTTTGGAGAACTTAGACATTGGAGAATAGTCATGCTCTTGGATGGCATTATCCAAAGATGGTGGCAGTGAGTGGAATCCAATAATCATACTATTAAAAAACATAATCTGAGCTGTAGGTGAAGTAGGGGAGTGAGGGCCGTAGTCCAGAGGCCCTTCAGAGTTTCTCAAATCTTTAAATATCTTTCAAGAAGGGGGGTCCTATTGCTCTTTCAGGACCATCATATCAATTTATTTTTGATACCAGAGCTCTAACTATACTATAAGTCACCAGAATTGACAGCAATTTATATGGGTTGGATTTTTTTTAGTAACTAGGGAAAAAAATAAGTATCAGTTACTTTGTTGACCTAGCAGACCAGTCTTTGCAGAAAGAGGGATAAAGCATCCTTGATGAAGAATAAATAAAATTATACTGTGAAGAAATTTCCAACTGGTCAGATCAGGATGTAATTCTCTTGTTTGTGTTTTTCTTAGAAAGCATTTCCATTTTGCCTGGCTCTGGGAACAAAGCCAATGTCTGCTTTAGAGGAACAGAGATTTCCAGTAAGTTGGGCTGGCAATAGTGGCTGGGTGGGTGGGATCATAGGGAGGGTTTGTTGGGGGACAGTTCAGAAACCCATGTACAAGCCTAGAAAGGGCGAGGTGGTTGGTTTGCCTCATATTCTCAGATCAACAAGGCTTCTGAGACATGTTTATGGGCCAGGGAGGGATGAGACTGAGTCAGAAGACAGAGCCTAGGCACCTCCAATACCCTTGCCTCAAATAATTAACAAACCACAAAAGCTGGGTGGGAAAGGAGGGAGGAAAGGAAACAGAAGTGAAGAGAGACACTGTTCTCCCACTCTCTGCTCGTTAGACCTAACGAGGTTATGCTTCATACTGGGTTTCACAATGGCATCAACCTCAGCCTCAGAAGCATGTCTTACAACCAGTCCCTGGAGATCAAGAACCGTGTTCTTCTCTTCCTTCTCTCCAACATCACTTCCTTTTATCTATTTTTCCAGCATGGTGAATGGAAAAAAGGACACAGATCCAGGATTCAGAAAGGAAATGAGGACAGAGACTGACACTCTCTAAATACACAAAGGCAGAAGACATTTTCTCAGGTGGGTTACATACCTGCCTTATTCATATGATCTTCACAAGTCAGAAAACTTTGGTTTCAGTCCTGGTTCTTACACTAAAGTGTTGAATGACTGTGAATAAGTCCCATAAGTTCTGCTGTCCTTACTGAGGAGTGCAGAGTGTGTATAAAATGGGAACAATGGTATTTTCCCAGCTACCTTAGGGCATTGTTTCAAGAATCAAATGGGATAATACTCAAAGAAGTACTTGGTGAGCTGTGAAATGCTGAACATATGTAAGGAATTATTATTTAGCCAATAAACCTCTCTCTAAGACACTAGTCTCTGAGATTCCTCCATTTGAGAGATAGCTGTCTTCTCTGTTTACCTCAAACATGTATTCTGACTCTAACCCAAAGTCACTTAGAAATTGGCCTCAAAGATCTAACCATAGCCTTGGCACCAGACAGCAAATCAGATCTCACTTCCTGCCCCTACCTTTATTTGCAATGTAGCTTCCAAAGCAAGAAACAAAATCTCAAGTTCCATTAATAATGAAACAAGGAGGCTCAAAAGCCTCACATCCTAACATTGGGCTCAGTGGAGAAGGAAGGAGCATCAGTGATGACGAGGAATGGTACAAGTGCAGGGTGAAGGTGGGAGTTGACCTTAAAAGAGAGCTTATTGTCCTGATTGGGATAGGAAGGTCTTAAAGAATGGTGTCTTCTGGGAGGCATCATTTTCCACAGATGGTCAGGAATGTCAAATCAGTCCTAGACAAAACTAGAGCCTCTAGAGAAGGAAATTACGAGAGACTGTGGGAAACTGGCAAGAAGAAATTTTGAAAGAAAGGGAGAACACTGAATCATTTGATGACCTGCCATGTGCCAGAGGCTGTCTTATACATGTATCATACATCTGCGATGTCATGTCCTCCAGCCTGCCTCCCGCCTCCTTTGCTGCTGCTGTGCTAAGCCATTGGAGAGCAGACAGCTCTGGGTGGTCATGTTCTAGTAGCAGAAACCCTTCAGGAATTCAGACAGTATCCACCCATTGACTGTTGGAAGAAAAAAAATCTGGGTCAAGATGAGAATTGACAGAGAAAAGGGAGGAAAGAAGAGAAATGGAGCTCAGGGTGGTGGTGATGGTAGAAGTGCATCTATTAGGACAATTTCCCAAGTAGCAACTCTGGATTCCTCCACTTGCTTACACAGTGTCTCCTTCCTATCCTTCCCTCCCCAGCCCTTGTCTCTACTGAACATCTTTCAACACTGGCCTCAACCACTAGATTCTATCATTGTGGTTAAAAGCTGAGATAAGCTTGGACTCAAGTCCTGCTTCCTCCTCTTGCTTGCTAGCTGTGTGGCCCTGCTATGGCAGTTAACACTAAGCCTCAGTTCCTCTTCTATTAAACAGCGTTAATAATGCTTATTAAGTGTTTCCAAAAAATTGAAATACATTTTGTATATAAAGTGTTGAACCCAATGCCTAGTTTAATAATTGGAGTCTTTATAATTACTTTATTATTAATCATCCAGGTGTCATCTTGTAACTATCACCACTTTATCTAGGACAAACATTTATTAAGCGCTTACTACTCACTATTGGATTAGGCACTGAGACTGTGAAGATAAAACAGGTACAACTCCTGACTTCAAGGAGCAAATAATCAAATGCAAACAGTGGGGTGTGGAGACCACAAGGAGACATACTGGCTGTGGTCCTATATTTGAAGGTTGTCACATGGACAGAGGGGTAGGTTTGTTTCAGAGGCTCTGGTAGCGAAGAGCCACTCTGATGGTGAAAGTCAGGGCAGCTCCAGCTGCTGGGAAGCTGCTGGGAATTCTCATGAGTGGGGCTGAGTCAGGGATCCTGCAGAGTTGACTCCTGTCTGGGCACATGCTGTGCTCTCAGTGGTTTTCAGGCTCTGCTCCATGCTGATTAGACAGGGGCTTCGAGGAGGCATCTCAGAGGCTGTGTGGTGAGGGAAGGAGGGCAGAGGTGATATAGGCCCTCAGCCTCCTTTTGGGGGTATTATCTAGGGCAGCGTTGATTGTATCTGTTTTATAAACTGGAAATCTGAGTTAGACTCAAAGAAAAGATCAAGTTGCTAAAAACATTCCAAAACCGCCAGGTTAAATTCTTTCTAAGATCCTTTCCAAAGATGAGATGTTAGCATTCTCTAGCCTTTCTCAGTGCAGTGGTGTCTGAAACTGACACATCTCGGCATCATATTCGTCCATATTCAGAACCTGAAGCCTCTGTGAACATCCGTGGCTCTTCATCCATAGTTCTTTAATTCCGCCAGGTTTTTTGCAGTGTATTTCCTAATTTCTCTTTATCATCTCAATCCTTCCCCAGTTTTCCCATTAATGTAGCTCATTCTCACCAATTCAGAAATCAGAGAAGAAGCCAGATCCAAAGAGAGGTTTAACCTGTTGAGAATTACTAGAGAAGCAAGTTTTCTGCTTGCAGAAGGACCAAGGGTAAACATAACACTAGGCCAGGCAACTGTTGACTTTACTTAACTTGAACCCTATTACATCAGGCTATAGGTCAGAGGCCAGGCTGCCAGAAATATGCAAAAATAACCCCTCTGGAGAAATGAAAGGCTGAGTGTGCCGCTAAGGGGGCCTCTCTCCACTGTGATGTTTCCAAGGGGCTGGAAGGGGACTCTCAGGCTGACAATAGGGCCTGGTATGAATTTTCTCATTACCGGAGAACTACTCCCAGATGGAGCTGAGTTCTACATCCCAATACAATTTGGATGTGAACAGGAATTCAAGGTCATTGTTGCCTTCTTTATCACCTTCTGACAAAAAGCAAAATTCCTCGTTCAAAAAAGAAAAGAGAAAATGAAAGAGAGGGAAGGAGGGAGACAACAGAAGAAAGAAGAGAAGAGAAATCTTTAGAAAATAAAGATCACACACAGTAAACGAGTTCCAATGTGCTGCCTCGGAATAGCAGCCTGTGGCACAATCATGGCCCTGGGGCTTTAAAACTCTAAATATTTTTAATGGATCATAAATCTGAAACAGAACGTGAAGTTGTCAAGACCTATTTGCACCCCTACTGTTAGAAACAGCTGACCAGACAATTTAGCCACTGTATACAAAGCATATACCTCTTCATGTTTCCGTGTTTCTATCCAAAATACACCCATTTTGTCCTATGTCTTGGCCACATGTTAAGGGAAACGCCCATCTCTCTGTGAAAGCAGTCTGAACTAGCAATGTGAAATAATTACTCTGCAAACTCTTCTAATTGCAGTGATCTGTTTCTTGTTAAGAAAATGTCAAAACCTAATTTAATTATTTAATTCATCAATTCACCCATCTCTTTGAGTAAAAATGGGTTGAAATTATTATTTTATGATACTTCCTGTGTTTATAAGAAAGCATCCCAAGACAAAGTTTGCCTTATTCCTCTGCTAGGGAATTTGTCTCATATGCGACCTGGATATTTTGCCCATAATTCCAGGAACTCTGCCTGGCTGGACAGATGTTTGGAGCTCATCTGCCCCAAAGGGAGGAGAGAGTTATGCGGCACTGCCCTAATGAGCTGACATGGAACCTTATGTACATAGGAATAAGTTAAGGAAAGCATTTCCCCTTTACTTGAGTTATCCTCTGCTTGATCCTACAGAAATCTTCAGAGAGGAAGTCTTTGGAATGTAGCTGTCCTGTGCATTGATAGAGCAGTGCTTTATTTAGTGGGTTCCCCGACATTTATCTAGGCATATGTTCACAGCATGTTAAAGTGTCATGTAAGAGGCTCAAGATTTAGTTTCTTAGAGCCAGGCGCATGGGCGGAAGCCCACTGTGGTGTATGAACGGATGAGTTTCAGGCTAATACTCACATCCTTGCTTTTCAAAGCTCTGAACTAATTGATATCTAGACCCAAGAATTCACTAGAGATCATCAGCTTAATTACTTGGGAAATTGACCTGGAGAGCACATTAAAATCTGAAGCCAAAGTAGGTGGCAACCTTATATTTCCTCTTAAGTTGAAACGTTGGAACCCAAGGCTGAGTTGCATTTGCAGAGCTGATGCTTACTTAGACACGAGGGAAACTGTGCCTTCTCCTTGTCCAGGGATGGAGAGGCTCTTGGGGTTGGGGGCAGTGTGGAGAGTGAGGCCCTATGTATTCCGACTTTTAACTTTGTTCACTGCAGTCAAGCAGGAACATGGATCAGTGGATGATGATTCTTCTCTGTCTCATCAATCAAATAAATCTCCCCCTCCCATGCAGAGAAGTTAACTGGAGTGGAAGGAAGGTCAGAGTTCTCAAGAGTGATCCTGTAAGGGTAGAAGTTGCTTTCTTTGGAAACATGATACAGACCAGGGGTAAGAGAGAGCGCAGATGCTGAATGCTGGACACTAGCTGCCTGGGTTTCCATTCTCCTTCGGTCATTGATTGGATGAATTTAGAAAGGTTCTTATAACCTCTCTAAGCATCTGTTTCTTCAAAAGTAGAAAAGGGCCAGGTGCAGAGGCTCACACCTATAATCCCAGCACTTTGGGAGGCTGAGGTGGGAGGACGGCTTGAGCGCGGGAGTTTGAGACCAGCCTGGACAACAAAATAAGACCTCGTCTCTACAAAAAAAAAAAATTTTTTTTTAAATTAGCTGGGCATAATGGCATAGGCCTGTAGTCCCAGCATCTCGGGAAGCTGAAGTGGGAGGATGGCCTAAGCCCAGAAGCTCAGGCTGCAGTGAGCTATGATTGCACCACTGCACTCCAGCATGGGCAATAGAGGAAGACTGGCTCAAAAAGTAAAATTTTAAAAAAGTAAATAATTTAAAAAGGAATCAAAATCGAGCTTTTAAAAAAATAGTGTGATTTTTTTTCATACTATTGCTTAAAGAAACAGTGAGTTGAAGTCTTCGGCACAATCATGAGCAACAGAGAGGGCTAACAGCATATTCACTATTCTGAGTTATTTGATTACTTGGGACAGAAGGGATGGTCTTTTTGTTTTAATAGACCAATCATTATGTTTAATCAGCTTTCATTTCTGAAATATCCCAGTATTTTGGATATATTCCATAGTCTTTTTTTTTTTTCTCTAAACAGCTTTATTAAGGTAGGGTTGGTAAACAAAAAAAACTGTACCTGCTACTGTACAATTTGATGAATTTGGACATATTCAAAGGGTTGGGGTTTGCAGGGAGCCTTCTTTCTTGTTCCTTTTTTCTGCTTTCTGGTTTCTACTGTTGTCTTTAAGTTTCCTGCTTCACACCCATGCTTCTGTGCTTCAGTGATGACACAAGGATAGAAGAAGCCAAATCTGTTGAGACAGTATGATGTAGGCAAAAATAAGCAACTTTCTGCTAAGACTCGATCTTCAAAAATTGAGCACCCATTTTGTATAGAGCAAATCAGGACAGCAACATACAGAGTATACTCTTCTGTACCCAGGGAAAGCCCTCTCCCCTGTTATTGGGCTGCATTCACCCAGACGTTGGTCTTGGGGAAAGACCTGATGGTGCATATCTCTTGTCTGAGACCAGCCCTACCATGAAGATGGAGCTCATGGTAAAAGCTTTTCAGTAAAAGCTTTTACTGAAGCTCATTTCCTTGGTGGCCTATTTCCCTGGGAGGCCTTCTGGTAGTCAAACCATGGGGCCAGCTTGAAATGCTCTGGTGAATTGGATCAAAGTGGGAAGACCAGAGTTCCTTGAACTACTGAAGGAGAGACGCTGAGAACTTACATGAGTTGAGAGTACGAGAATAATAATTAGGATAGTTGGGCACCAACATTTTAAAAGATTTTTTTCAAATTGTATGTGTTAGATTTGTTTTAATCGAAAGATTAAATCCTAGGTTTAATCATTGACTTTATTGGACTCGTATTTTGGTTTCCTTGTTCTTGGATTTCTATATTTGCTATTATGTATTTCCTCCTGTTTTTTTTCTGTTTCTTTTTCCAAATAATTAAGGTGAATGCTTGGTTCCATTATTTTTATTCTCTTTTATCAATAAGGAAAACATTTAAGATTATGAATTTGCTTCTAGGTAAGGCTTGGCTACATTGCATACATTTAGTAATTTCATGTTTTGTAGTAGTGTAGGAATGCAATATTTTCTAATAAATGTTCATTGCAATTTTGATTTCCTCTTACATTCATGTTTTGCATGAGTTTTTTAATTGCTAGTTGTTGTTTTATACATTTTTAATTTTGATGTCATTTTTAATTGATAGGTCACCTATATGTTAGTGCAAAAATGTTGTCTAAATATTAGCTTTTATAAATTTATTAAGATGTTCTTTCTAATGCAGTATATTAATAGTATTTGAGAGCATTCTATGGGCAAGTGGAAAGAAGCTATGGAGCCTGTTTTTCAGATAGCCCCAGCCTCCTTCCATGAAGGAAGGGGAATTATATTAGATACATAAATATATGTGCATATACATTTTATATATTTATGCATATGTGTTAATATAACTAATATTGTTGTTTACAGTTTCCCTGACTTTATTTTTGATCTATATTATTGTTTTTTCACTTACATTTTATTTTAACTTTTAGGTTCAGGGATACAGGTACAAGTTTGTTATATAGGCAAACTCGCGTCATGGGGGCTTGTTGTACAGATTACTTTGTCACCCAGGTACTAAACCTGGTACCCATTCATTATTTTTTCTGCTCCTCTCCCTCCTCCCACCCTCCTTCCTCAAGAGCATGTCTTTTGTGGGAACATGGATGAAGCTGGAGGCTATTATCCTTAGCAAAATAATACAGGAACAGAAAGCCAAATACTGCATGTTCTCACTTACAAATGAGAGCTAAGTGATGAGAACTCATGATCTATATAATCTATCAAAAACTGATATTTATGTTAGAGTGTCTCATAATACCTTTGTGTTCACTTTTTCTATTTTTTCTCCTATTGTATTTCTAGTCATTTTAGCGATTTTGATCTTTTTTTTTTTTTGAGACAGAGTTTCGCTCTTGTTGCCTAGGCTGGAGTGCAATGGCACGATCTTGGCTCACTGCAACCTCTGCCTCCCAGGTTCAAGCAATTCTCCTGCCTCAGCCTCCTGAGTAGCGGGATTACAGGCACGCACCACCACACCCGGCTAATTTTGTATTTTCAGTAGAGACGGGGTTTCTCCATGTTGGTCAGGCTGGTCTTGAACTCCCAAATTTGACTTTTATAGTTTGTCGTGAAATTTTCAGTGTATAAAGGTAATTTCTTCGTGGATTATGTCATTGATCAATATGAAAATTTTCCAATCGTGTTAATGTCATTTAATCCTACATCTTGTTTGAAATGTATATTGACACTCTTGGTTCTGTTACACAGACACACACACACACACAGACACATACACACACACACACAGACGGTGTGTATGTATTTCTCATGCCATCTTTAAGGCATTTATTTTATAAGCAACATGTTATATTTTGTACTATGATACAATTTAGGTCTTTGACTTTAAATTGGGGAGTACACAATGGATAGATTTGGTATCTTGCCTCTCACTCTGTTGTGTGCAGGTGGGACAGTGCAATAACCAAGAATAAGTTTGTGAGTCAGAGAGGTCAGGGTTTAGATCCTGAACCTTCCTTTTACATCTATGTGACCTCAGGAAACTGCTTTATTCACTGTTGATTCATTTGTATATTTGAAACAATAATATACTATTACTATGGTTGCCATAAAGAGTAAGTAAAAAAAGTAATGGGAGCAAAGCATCTAGCAGTAGCTTGACCCATAGTAGCCATGCAATTAAGGTTGGCCGGAATTTTATATATAACGATTAGTATAAATATATAATTCTATACATATATCCCATTTTTTAGGTTTTCTGTTTGTCATTTCTTATACTGCATTTTTAGTTTCTCTTTCGATATATGGATTAAGTTGTGTTTTATTTTCTCTGCACTAATGATTTGAAAGGCAAAACATTTGTTTTTGGTTTGTTGGTGGTAACCTTTATGTTTTCCAAAGATGTTACTTTAATTATTTTTCTGTGATTATCAAAGTCAAAAACCACTTTTCCAATGCAATATATAATTTAGAATATCTTTACTTGCTACCCTCTGTTTCCCTTTCAATTTTGATTCATATAATCTGGGATTTTCAGTGACAATTCCTTTATACTAAATTAGTAGCTGTATAAAGTTTATTTTCTACATAAAAAGTAACATTTGCTTGTTTTGTAACCGTATTTGTTACCTGGAGATAATTCAGACTTCATAACAACCACCAGTACTAGTATACATTTTTTCCTAATTTTAAGTTTTCCTTTTCCATTCATTTCTCAGTTTTCTAGAGTGTGCCATGAAGAAAATTTCTCAAGATGAAATGTAAATGATGTGTATTTTTAAATCCCTGATGTATCTGAAAAAAACAACTGATTGTGTATGACATCCTCACACTTCAACCGTTTTGTACAAACTGTGAACTTAGGCCTAGTGTGATCCGGCTTTAAAGCATTAAAGATAATTTTGCTGTGGACATCAATAAAGCCTTATGTTTTGTTTCGTTCGTTAGTATGGATCAGATGCCTCCTCCGCCTCCCCCACCCTATCACACCAACACAGGAGTGAGGGGTAAGAACCCACAAGAAGGACTGAAGTTGAGTTTTTCCTTCTATTGTTTCAGCAGAAAGTGGCCTTGTTATAGAAATTTAGCTAAATCTTTACTTTTATACCAATTGTATTTCACCTGAGTGGAATGTATGTAATGATATACACATTTCTACTGTAAACCAAAAAGTATCTGAGACAGGTCTCAATCAATTTAGAAGTTTATTTTGCCAAGATTAAGGACCATGGCCCATGACACAGTCTCAGGAGGTCGTGAGAACATACGCCCAAGGTGGTTGGGTTACAGCTTGGTTTTATACATTTTAGGGAGACAGAAGCTACAGGTAAAAACAGAAATCAATATGTGGAAACTATACATTTGTTTGGCTCAGAAAGGTGAGATATGTCAACGATGGGGAGTTGGCAGGCCTCCCAGGTCATAGAGAATTCACAGATTTTCTAATTGGCAATTGGTTGAAAGAGTTAAACTTTGCCTGAAGAGTTTGAAGTTAGAATAAAGAAATGAGATACCATCTCATGCCAGTCAGAATGGTGATTATTAAAATGGCAAGAAACTGGCAAGGTTCCAGAGAAGTAAGAATGCTTTTACACTGTTGGTGGGAATGTAAATTAGTTCAACAACTGTGGAAGATAATGTGGCAATTCTTCAAAGATCTAAAACCAGAAATACCATCTGACCCAGCAATCTCATTATTGGGTATATTTCCAAAGGAATATAAATGCGTCTACTATAAAGATACATGCACATATATGTTCATTGCAGCACTATTGGCAATTGCAAAGACATGGAATCAATCCAAATGCCCATCAATGATAGATTGGATAAAGACAATGTAGTACTTACACACCATGGAATACTATGCAGCCATAAAAAGAACGAAGCCACTATCCTTGGCAAACTAATGCAGGAAAAGAAAACCAAACACTGAATATTCTCACTTATAAGTGGAAGCTGAACAATGAGAACACATGAACACAGGGAGGGGAACAACACACACTGGGGCCTGTCGGGTGGAGTTGGGAGAGGGGAGAGTATTAGGAAAAATAGCTAATGCATGCTGGGCTTAATGCCTAGGTGGTGGGTTGATAGGTGCAGCAAACCACCATGGCACATGTTTACCTATATGACAAACCTGCACATCTACACATGTACCCCAGAACTTAAATGGAAAATTAAAATTAAAAAAAAGAAATGCATTCGTTAAGATAAGATAAAGATTGTGCAAGCCAAGGTTCTTTTTTTTCTTTTTTCTTTTTTTTTTTTGAGACAGAGTCTCGCTCTGTTGCTCAGGCTGGAGTGCAGTGGTGTGATCTCAGTTCATTGCAACCTCTGCCTCCCGGATTCAAGTGATTCTCCTGTCTCAGCCCTCCCAAATAGGTGGAATTACAGGCATGTGCCACCATGCGTGGCTAATTTTTGTATTTTTAGCAGAGATAGGGTTTCACCATGTTGGCCAAGCTGGTCTCGAACCCCTGACCTCAAGTGATCCACCTCCCAAAGTGCTAGGATTACAAGAGTGAGTCACTGCACCTGGCCACCAAAGTTTTTGTTGTTGTTGTTTGTTTGTTTGTTTTTGAGACGGAGTCTCACTCTGTCGCCCAGGCTGGAGTGCAGTGGCGTGATCTCGACTCACTGCAACCTCTGCCTCTTGGGTTCAAGCAATTCTCTGCCTCAGCCTCCTGAATAACTGGGATTGCAGGCACCCACCACAACGCCCAACTAATTTTTTTGTGTTTTTAGTAGAGACGGGGTTTCACCATCTTGGCCAAGTTGGTATTGAACTCCTGACCTCGTGATCCACCCGCCTTGGCCTCCCAAAGTGCTGGGATTACAAGTGTGAGCCACCACGCCCAGCCCACCAAGGTTCTTATTACACACATGAAGCCTCCAGGTAGCAGGCTTCAGAGAGAATAGATGGTAAATGTCTCTTATCAGTACTTAAACGTTGTCAGACTCTCCAGAAATAACCTAGTAAAGGAAGGGGATTCTCTTCAGAATGCAAATTTCCTCCACAAAAGACAGCTTTGCAGGGCCTCTTCAAAATATGCCAAATAAATATATTTTGGGGTAATATACATACTTCATGTTCTGCTATCTGTCACGTGATGCTATACCACAGTTAGGTTGGAATTTGGCATGTTATTGTAACAGAGTCTGTTTTGTCAGTCTTATGAGTTCTATTTTAATGTTAACGCTGGTTAGTTGTGCCTGAGGGAGAAGAGTATAACTAGGCACGTCCAAGCCCCTCTTCCTATCATGGCCTGAACTAGTTTTTCAGGTTTGTTTCCTATCCCCTGAGCCAACAGGGGGTCCATTCAGTCAGTTGCAGTGCTTAGAATTTTATTTTTGGCTTACACTGCATAGATCCTTAGATATAACCAAAGGGGAGCATGGAGAATCTCTTCCTCAACTGGAAGGATCTCAGGAAAAATGTAGGAATCAGCATATCCAGAGGAAACTGTGAAGTCCAGGAAGAAGTTCAGGTTTTAATCCTTTCCCATGGCCGACTCCATGTATTCAAATAAGAGGGCCTAGGATATGTTGGTTTTTCTTTTCTTGAATAATTAAGTAATTCATTCCATCACTCAGTCAGCAAAAATAAGCAAAACACACCCCCTGCCCTCAGGTTGCTTAAACTATACAGAAGAGGAAGAGAACAAATGCATAAAAATTTTATAACATATAAGCATAAAATATAAAGAGTATTTGAAAGAGTCCGGTGTGCCTGTTGATAAGGAGCAGGGGGAGCAGTGGCTGGTCAGGAGCGAGTTCTGAGCAAAGTCTCTGGCCCTGGAGGCAACCCCAGGGAGGCTGGAGAGCCATTAGGGTGAACGCATCTCTGAAGGTCTGGACCACTGGTCTCTAAGGACCTTTCTGTTCCGAGCTTCTGTGAGAAAGAAGGAATTTAAATAACAGCATCTCGGTAACCTGACTTGCACCTCTTCTCAAAACTTTTATATCTTATTCAGTCTTTCTCAGTTCTCCCCAGATCTCCAGCATTTTCACAGCCTCACTCCACAGAGGCCCTACCATCTCAGTCACTTATAGAACCCTTATAAGTATAAAGCCTTTATGCTGTAATTATTTCTTTACATGCATGTTCTTGCCTCTAAGATGAGTCGACTCCTAAAAAAATAGGGATTAGTCTTAACATTTTAGATAACAGAAAGATATTGAAAGGTACCTGTCCTTCTGTTAACTTCAGTTTCCTCAGAAGGATAGAATGGTGGGGGTGGGGGTATCATTTTTTCTTTATATACCTGCATATAATTTGACTTCTTGTCTCAGGTTTCATGTGCATCCAGGTGAAGGGACCACTTTATTGTGTGAGCAATAAAGCTTTTTAATCACCTGAGTGCAGGCGGGCTGAGTCCGAAAAGAGAGTCAGCGATAGGAAATAGGGGTGGGGCTGTTTGATAAGATTTGGGTGGGTAGTGGAAAATTACAGTCAAAGGGGGTTGCTCTCTGGCGGGCAGGGGCGGGGGTCACAAGGTGCTCAGTGGGGGAGCTTTTGAGCCAGGATGAGCCAGGAGAAGGAATTTCACAAGGTAACGTCATCAGTGAAGGCAAGGACCGGCCATTTGCACTTCTTTTGTGGTGGAATGTCATCAGTTAAGGCAGGAACAGGCCATTTTCACTTCTTTTGTGACTCTTCAGTTACTTCAGGCCATCTGGATGTGTACATGCAGCTCACGGGGGATATGATGGCTTTGCTTGGGCTCAGAGGCCTGACATCAGTTATATAATGTTCTACTTTTATTAGTAGGAAAATCAGTAAAGGAAAAGAAAGGACAAGAAAAATAAGGAGAAGAAAAGAATACAAAGGAAAAGAAAGTTCTATGTGTCTTGCCATAGTAACCTGCCCAGAGAGACACCATAACTATTTGTTAAACAAATTAGTTCTCTAATCACCCATCTTGGCTTCCATCCTCTGGGCTCACCTGATCTCTCCTCTCCTTTCTGGTGATTTTGCTCAAACAAGGTGGAACCATTAGCATCACTACAACTTAATTTTATTCCACTTACTCTGGCCCCACAAGATCATGTATACTTCCAAACCCACAGATCATTGGTAATATTTTTTTTCTCCTTTACTTCCAAAGCGGGAAGAACTAAAACCCACAGATAACAGGAAATGTTTCTTTCCGGCTGAGAATCCCCGAATGCAAGGCATAGCAGGGCCTCAACCCCTTCACACCAGCTCCTGGACTGCTGCAGCACAGACTTCCCTGGTGGCTTGAGGCTGGGGACTGAGCTTTTCCTTCAACATGGGATCTGGAAGAACTTCCCAGCTACCCAAAGCCGCAATTTCCTCCATCGCACACAGAAGCAGCTGAGTCAGTACTAGCCCAGCACAATGATGAAGGGGTTGTTTGTCTTTGGTTCCAGGCCTGTCTCCCTCTCAAGCCCTGTGGCCCTTCCTGGACTATCTTGAGCACTTCATCTGCCTAAGCCTGTTTCTTCTTCTCTGCCCAGCAACCCAAGGATAGCTCCTCTTCCATTCCATTGAAGCTTGCAGAGAAAAGTGGGCTGTGAGAGGCAAGGCCCCGGAGGCAGGCAGACCCCTGAGCCGTGCAAATTTGTGCATAATGTCTGGATTTCCTCCGAAGGCAGAGAGGGTGGGGAGCTTCAGAGACCAACAGGGTAAGCTGCCAGAGCATGCTGGACACACCATGGCCTCTTGCCCATCTGCAAAATGAACGAGAGGATGATGGCTCACAGGGAAGCGTGGAGAGCCAATGAATTGGCGTGTGGCGCAGTGGCTGCCCAACATCAGCTCTTCACAGTATTTCATTTCCACCAGGCCTTGCTCCCTGATAATTCCTCCACCTCCCTTTGCTTTTGCCTCAAGCTAAACTTGAGGTCTGGCTTAATAGGAGAGTCAGGTAACAGCTGTGCTTTCTTGCCTTGATCCCCTTCTGTGACAAGACTCTTGC